CACAAGCACAGGACTTCCTCATTATCAAGGAGTTTCCTCCCATCCTGATATGTCACACACCCATACATGACATTAACTGGTTGCCTGTATGCTTGAGACAATGGCAAGATTCACATTATGAATCGTATTCCATGACACCTATCACTCTCCTGCTCTGTTTGTCTACAACAGTAACTTCATGTTTGAGAGGTAGTTTAATGTTTGGTTCCCTATGGTTGATGCCAGAATTGTCACTGCCATAATGTAACTCGCATCTGATTCACCATCTGAGCATTTTCATTGAATGTGACCTTTTAATTATGACACTTGGTGTTATTCGTGACTTGAGCTTTCTTATACTTTCTGCCTCATAGATTCATAGATTGTAAGGTACCTTGGAAGATCATCAGGTTCAGCCCCCTGCACTAGGCAGGAAAGGCAGCTGGGGTCAGGCAACCCCAGCAAGGTGACTGTCCAGTCTCCTCTTGAAGATTTCCAGGGTAGGTGACTGTACCACCTCTGGAGGGAATTTATTCCACAGTCTGGAAACCCTAACTGTGAAGAAGTTTTTCCTAATATTAAGCCTGAAATGGTCTTCCAGGAGTTTGTTGCCATTACTCCTGGTTTTTCCCAAGGGTGCCCTGGTGAATAGTTGTTTACCGAGCCTTTGATGTACTCCCCTGATGTAGCGGTAAGCTGCTACCAAATGCCCTCTCAGCCTTCTCTTTTTCAGGCTGAAGAGTTCCAGGTCCCTCAGCCTTTCCTCGTATGGCTTGCCATGCAAGTTTCTGATCATGTATAGCCCTTCTCTGAACTCTCTCAAGTTTTACCACGTCCTTGTTAAGTGTGGCACCCAGAACTGGACGCAGTACTCCAGTTGGAGTCTCACCAGTGCCAAGTAGAGCAGAAGAATAACTTCCTTGGTTTTGCTGGAGATGCATCAGTTGATGCATGCCAGAGTATTATTTGCCCTGCTGGCAACAGCATTGTACTGCCAGTTCATATTCATACTGTGGTTTATTATTATCCTCAGGTCCCTTTTGTTCATTGTGCTGGTCAGTTTGGCACCACCAAGCCTGTAGGTGTGTAGTGGGTTGTTCGTCTCCAGATGGAGCACTTTATATTTCTCAATGTTGAACTTCATCTGGTTCTTACTCGCCCAACTTGCTAGCCAGTCTAGATCCACCTGTATCTGTAGCCTATTTTCAAGCATGACCACGTGCCCCACAACTTGGTGTTGTCTGTGAACTTGCCCAGTGATCTCTTTGCCCCACATCCAAATCATTGATAAAGATGTTGAAAAGTACTCCAAGCACTGACCCCTGTGGGACAGTTGGCCACTTCTCACCAGGACAACACAGATCCGTTCGTTAGGACTCTCTGGGTCCTACCTTGCAGCCAGCTTTGTACTCACCTAACTGTCTTGCAGTTAAGCCCACAATCCTCCAATTTGCTCATGAGAACATCATGGGATACGAGATCAAAGGCTTTTTGGAAGTTAAGGTGTACAATGTCAACCTCCTCTCTCTTATCCAGGTGGTGAGTTACCTGATCATAAAAGGAGATGAGGTTGGTAAAACAAGACCTGCCCGCGACAAAGCCATGCTGGTTGTTATTCAGAATCCTACCGTCTGCAAGCCTATTGCACATAGACTCCTTAATGAATTTTTCCAGGGTTTTCCCTGGGATAGAAGTTAGGCTAATTGGCCTATAGTTACCTGGGTCCTCCCTCCTCCCCTTCTTGAAGATGGGCACAACATTGGCCCTCTCCCTGTCCTCAGGGACCTCTCCAGAGTGCCACAAGTTTTGGAATAGTTTTGCCAGGGGCTCTGCGATGATTCCCAAGAAACTTACATAATCATCAGCCAAGGTGGTCTAGAAAAATATAAGCCCAAGGCAGATGGGCATGCCTCCTTGTAAAACCAGCACTAGACACAGTGGAGACAGCAGAGGCAACAGTTAAGAAGCTTATAAACTTTATTATAAGCAATTTGAGTACACTGCTTCCAAAAGCAAGGGTATTAGGTAGGAGAGTGACCCTTTGTATATTCTGGGAGTGTGTATATTTAACAGATGGGACTAGAACAGTCTCTGAGCATTTGATAAATTTTATATGGTGGAGGTATCCATTTAAGTAAAATAAATGAAAATAAAAATGCAGAATCAATAAATGAGTGAGAGACATTTTATTCTTGTTAAATTAGGATGTTGCTGGGAACCTTGGAATATTAGATCTTGGGCTGCTCTAACTTGTACATGTAGAGACTGAAGTCTAAAATTCATGCTAGGTCTGTTTGGAGAAGTTGAATAACGCACCCATGTGTGACCCTCCTTTCTCTCCCACTGTGCTCCTCAAGATGTGGATTATTTGCCATGTGGCTTATCGCAACAGTAGATTTAATCTTTCAGTATTGGAACGATTTTTTCAGAAAGGGCAAGTTTCACGCCAGGATTGGACAGCTACTCAGACAAATAACTCAGTTGTTTGAGCTCTGTGTTAAGGAGCTCAAGCTCATGCTTTTCCACACCTCACAACTAAAGATATTTATTCCCAGGTTCCGGGAGTTGGGGGCGTTTTAATTAGAGTGGCTCCAAAAGCCGTTCTAATTAAAACTCCAAGAGTGTCTCATGTATCAGCATTCCCACCCTGAAAAATGGCATCAAGGGCATTTTAACTAAAGCTTGTTCAACAAGCTTCAGTTAAAGTGCTCCTGCCACCATTTTTCAGCACAGGGATGCTAATATATGTAATACTGGAATCTGCTGGAACACGGTAGTCACCACACTCCAGCAGACTCAGTTAATCGAGTCTGCTCTGACGTGCTGTAATTACAGTGCATCAGAGCAGCCTTGATGCAGGTGCATAGGTGCCCCAAGGAACTAGTTGGCCTTGAAGGGATTCAAATGTAGCTTGGTATCATGTACATCAGTTTGTATAATAAAGTAAATTACACCTTGATTAACTATGGCTAGGATAGACATGCAGCCATCCCAGAGTAACTTGCACAGTAGATTTCACTGATATGTGGCAGAGCAGCAAGCAATAGCCTCTTTGCCTTTAATAAGTGGCTACCCCAGGATAGACTTGGGCAGATAAATTTAGCTGATGTTAATCACATTGGTGGTGTTTTACTCTAGCTCCTTCAGTATTAATTCTCCACTGGATTAAAAAAAAAGTTATCCCAATTTAGGGGGTTGTGGTATCTGCACACAGCAGCACTGTGTCTGGTCTGTCTAGAGCTGGCAGGATGAATTGGGATTGGAAATAACTGACCAGCTTCTATTTGCAAATTTATTTGCCTTTGTGCCAAACTGCTGTTATACCCATCTCATTTTTCTTCAATGAAATAAGACTTGGAGAATGCCTGGACAAAACTGAATAGCATTTCCCTGTCTCCTGTTCACCACCAATACCTTTTGAATTGTCATTAGTATTTGCCCTCCTTTGTATGCAGATCTTGTGAACTGCTCAAACCTTTTAATTTAATTTGGAAGGTCAAAGATGAACCTGGACAGGTAATTCTCCTATGAGGCTGAGAGCAGTAATTTAACTCCTTGTTGATTGTTTGAAAGTTAAAGGGGTTATATGTTAAGAAAAATCTAACTTGAAATTGCTACATTCCTAAATATTTCAATTGAGATTACAAGCTACATGGAAAAGGGAATTTTGCATTTAACTCTGTTCTTGCCAGTGTGCTATGAAGTATTTCAAATATGGTCCATGTTCTAAAGTACAGCAGTCTTCCAAGTGGAGTTTCAAAAGCTCATAAAATTCAGATGCTAATGGCAATAATTAATACTCCCGCAAAAATTCAAGCATTACACACATCTCAGTTGGTTCTTATAGTTTTCTGATTGTATTCCTTCACCGCCCAGGTTTGTTTGCCATAACATTAGCTTACCAATACCAATCTGTCTTTTTGTACAACTGCCTACAGAACTATGCAGAAATTCCCAATGCATGGAATATAGAAGATTATTGTGACCCTATGAGCATGGGAGTGCTGCTCAATACAGAATATACATCACTATCCTAAAACCATCTAGTCCTTGTGTATCCATTTTGTTGAGTTATGTTTTGAAAAACTCAAACACAGGTAGATTGCTGAAAAGATAATGAATGTTCCAATAGGAGAGAATATATTTTAATATTATTTTCAGGCAGGGATACCAATTCAAGAAGGTTACCTGAACATCTAGGAATGTGAGACTAGAAAGGACCTCTTGGCCCATGAAGTTGGGTCCCCAGTGCTTAAGTCTCTTTTAAATCCTAGGATAAATGTCAGCATGTTCTATGTGCTTTCCTAAAATGGGGTCTTCTAGAGCAGTGGTTTCCCCGCTCCCATGGGCTCTGCAGACTATATCTAAGGTGCCCATGAAAGAGGACTATGATCAATCAAAAGTATGTGAATACCCACACTTAAAATTCAGAAGGATCTGCACCTCTATTCAACATTTCCAAAGGGGTCTGCAGATTTAAAAAGTTTGAAAACCACTCTTCTAGAGGGTGGAGTGCGCTTGTTTAGGTATCCAAATCTAAGCTATGATTGTCCAGTTTAGATATTTCTTTCCTCTAGAAAGCAAGAAAAACCTTATGACCCGATGTGTAATTTCAAGAGTCCAGGACAACCTTCTCGTAAAAATATTTTGTGAAGTTCTTGGGTGAATAAGTTAGAAGTGTTTCATAAAAGGATTACTCTTTTTTGAATTCGAAGTAAACTTGCATAAATGACATTATCATGCTGCTCCTAACACTCTGATTGGTCTCTCTTCACCTTTCTACTTAGTAGCTAGTAATTTTTGCTTATATTTTTTAACACAGCAATGCAGGTTTATAGACTATTTCTAAAAGGCATAAACTATAACTAGGGAAATCATCTTCACAGTCAAGGAACCTGTATTAGTTTCAAGTTACTTTAGCAGCCCACAAGGTTACTTTGTTAGTGTAAATTAAGTAACAATTTACTAAAGAGCCAATACATGTCAGTTAACAGTCTTTTTTTATTTATTTATTTCCACAGTACATCCATTCATCAGGCATAATTCACAGGGTAAGCAAAACCTATGAAAATGATTATTTTAATTTGTATACCATAGCTGCTGTTCATGTGCATGTGTGACCATTTCCAAGTTGTTTAATTTTGCTTCAGTGTTTGTAATGTATATGGTTTCCTCAGCAAACATTTTAAAACAGCTAGTGAATAGAGATGTTTGAAAATATTCAACTAAAATCTTTTTAAAGGAAAAAATAGTGATTTAGAGTAAACAAAAAGGTCATATTAATTCTCCCATATCCTTAACAAAAATATAATGATAATTTTTTTCCACCAGAAAGCTTAGCAAATAAGCAAAAATACTAAGTTTCAGACTTTGTGGTCAATGTTTTCCATTTGGAAATTATTTTATATTTTTTCCACACTGTCAATTTTTCTGGGGAAAATAAAGTTGGCCATTTTGATTTCTTTTGTGCTCTCACAGTTCCCACTCAAAAGCTCACCTGAATCAATGTGGGAGTCCTAAAAATATTTTTGATTACCTACACTTGTCCTTATTTCATGACAGAGGCTGGCTTAAGTAGCATAAAAGGAGGATACTCCTTTGCGGGGTGGGGGTTCCAACACAATACCAAAAACATCACAAAGTATTCTTTGTTCCAGTTGTTTTAATTGGGCCAATGGAAATACCTTTTCAACAGAAACCCGATATAATACAACACTTCAATAACTGTATTTTTGCCTCCACAGCTGCTGTGGTCATGGTCTAAACTTTACAGTCACTCAGAATCAGAGTCAGCAAGATGGAGCTTAGAAAAGAGACTCTTTCAGCTCTGTTTCAGAGATTTTTCAGCTGTCCCTCCAAAGACTATTTGGCTGTGAACAGACATGGGGGGAAAAAAAGAAAAATGCACTTTACTGGAAGCAGCAGTGAGTTAGTTCCACCCATCTCTGCAGTGTCTGTATAGATTGGGCACTTCAGCGGGGCTTTTTGACACTTTCATCGCAGTTGAATCAGCTATTAGATAGAAGCGCCAAAAAGCCCCACTAAAACACCTGATCTATACAGACGTTGGGGTGAGCCAGGTCCAACCAACACAATGCCTCTTCTGGGCATGGTCTGGGCTCAGCGTGGGACCACGCAGAGTTTAAAGTAAAGTGCCATTAGTTGGGGGTTTTTTTCCATGTCTGTAAGCAGCCTTTGATTCTTAATAGCCTGCTGTGAAGAAATCCCCTTTTTGGCTGCCCCACCTCTGCTTGGAGACAGCCCAGGGCCCTGGGATTCTCACTCTGCCTGGTCAGTTCACCTGGCCTCCTAGGTGATAGGTTTGTAAATTTCACGGGGGGGGGAGCTCACCCTTCCTTTGTGTGACCTTTCCCACCATTTACCTGGAGGTGCAGTCCTAGGGTAGTCATCACTCATCAAGGTAGGGGCTGACATAGTTCGAACTGACTGGTCAGCATCAGTGGTGCTCAGAAAATACCTGATCCTAGTTGGGTCCAGGTGATGAGATCAGAAAGGTTATTTATAAGGGTCCCTCTAGCTTAGAGAGGGGAGACATGTTTTGAACACGGCAAACAAGCCACGCAGCCTCCAGAGAAAGAGCTTGGTTAGACTCTGGATGTAAATCTGAATTTTAGCTAGTAACTTGGGATGAAGTGATCTAGAAGCGTATCAAAAGGCTACTAATCAGCTTCTGTTTGCTCAGGGTTTTTCTTTTGATACTTCTCTGACCTGTACTCCTCCCCATGCCTACCCTCTCCAATCAGTAAAGCTATCCGTTATACCAAGCCATGCTGTACCTGCTCGAGAGGGATTAGATAAGCCTTTTAGTTCCCTTGCTCAGCTGACTAAGGGAGGCTACTGTTAATGCTTCAGGCTATATGAAGCACCCAGATATATCCTGCTAGGGGCAAAGCACCCCCACAGACTACAGGGTCTGTGTACCCTGTGCGGCACAGAGCCCTAACAAAGACCAGCTCCTGGGTGGTGACAGTGGTTAACCCAGGCTTGCGGGTGTGCTTCAGGAAGGAGGTTGGCCAGATGTAGGCACCCTAGGGGAGACACCTGAAGCATGGTTTTTGGTTGGGCACAGTGAGGCAGGTGGCTCAGGGCAGGAGTGGCCCCTACTTTCCTGCCACACCCACATTCCCCATTTCTTTGTCATCCATTTCTGTGATGTAATTGAATGAACATTGAAAACTTCTGGGAGTGGGGATAGTTCTCCAGTGTGACTCACCTAAATATACAAAAGATTTAGAAAAAATGAGTTTTTTTTTCCTAGTCTAAGATCACTGAAAGATCATTGACTTTCTGTAATAACATTTAAGAATCTTAACTTTTCATAGCCATTTGCCATCTACCCTTACTTAAAAATAGTCTCAAACTCTGTGATGTCAATGAATCAGTAGAGGGCAATATTGATGTATATCAAGATCTGCCCTTTATTGTTGACCTTTTTACTTAATAGGTTCTATTCAAATAAATTAGTCTTGACATGAAAATTCCCCTTTGCCACAATTTTTTTGAGAAGAGAAGTTTTAGGTAAAGTATGTTTCAGGTAAAGTAGGTCTGATCATAAAGTCTTTCTAACCCTTTTTAACACTCAAAAGTACCCCAGGCATGTGTGGACAAATAATCTCTAAGTATATCTTGATATATGTCAATGGACATTTTTAATTAAAGATTTGTTAGGAATATATGTATGGCGTAATAGCAGTTAAACTCAACCAGAGTCAAATAATTTTCCTTATCTGATTTCCCCTTCTGGGTGTAAATAATCCAAATTAATATCCAAACTAGCTTTCTTAATTAGATTAGGCTAGTTGTCTTTATTATGACTTAAATGGAACTTTTGTTCAAGACTGTCTTACATAAGAACATAGCATAGCCAGGTTGAAAAAGGGACTAGATAAATTCATGGATGATAAACCTATTAATGGCTGTTGAGCAGGATGATTAGAGATGTTTCCCTTAGCACCTCTAATCCTATAATGGGGTGTGATAGAAACAAACTCCCAGGCCCAGTCACAGTACTGGCCCGCCTGTCTGTCTTTGGGCAAGCTGCCCACCTTACTTGTCTGCCACACCTTGTTGTAAATTAAATGTTAATTAGGTGGGAGGCTGCCCTTCGAGCACCCTAATGTCTAAGGGCAGTAAACCCACAAATCCTACCTGCCGCTTTAGTGTCCCATGTCTTGCAGATGTTCCTGTGAGTTGTGCTATGCTCTGGCTTGAGGCCGGGCCCAACTCAGCTCAGTGTTAGGCCTTTCTCATACTGTCCTATACAGGGTCTCACACATACCACCCCCCTCTCACTGGGGCATCTAGTACTCCGCCTGCTCTCACCAGGCCTCTTCCACTCATACCCCCTTACTGGGCCACATTCACCCTGCTGTGCTCCCTTGAGCGACCCCGGAGGGCCATCAGGCTTGACTCTGCACCTCGGCCAGCCTTGGCACAGCCTTTTGGGCCTCCCCCGTGACCCTCATCTGAATGGTGGTTTGGCAATTAACAGAACACTGGGCTGACTCCTCCCATGGCCCCTCACTGAGTAACACCACCCGCTAGTTCACAATTTTGGGCCTGATGACTCACCCCTTTCACTCACAGCTCTCCCTCTGCCACCTCTCATGGCCTCAGGCCCACTTGTGGCCTCAGGCACCTAAAAGCTTACCTGGGCCTCTGCCCCTTCCTTCCAGGGCCTCAACATACTCACCACTTGGCCAGGGCCTCAACTGAACTCTCACTCCTTCCTGGAGCTCCAGGGCTTTTCACCCCAACAGGCTCAGGTGCCCCTTGAATGGGCATGCTTGGCCCCACTACTCTTCTCCAGTGTCTTGCAGCCTTATGGGCTCAGGTGCCACTCATGGGTATGCTTGGCTCCACTATACCCTCTGGGGTTTCACACCCCTATGGACTCAGGTGCCTCACATGGGCATGCCTGGCCCCACTCCTCTCCGGTTTTATAAACCCACCGGTTAGTGAGGGCTGGGGTTAAGGTGCCCCTACCTGCCTTTCACCAGGGAGGTAATTGGCCTGGCATTTTTGGGGGACTGCTTCACTACAAACAGTCCCGTCAGGCCACCCTTCCCCAGCAGGGTGCAGTTTCAGGTCATGCTCAGGACCAGGAGCCTCCTGCCATCCCCAATAGCTCCTGCCCTTGCTTCCAAGATGAGTAGCCGGGTGGTGTTGCTCCCTCGGCTGCTGGCAGCAAACTGCTGCCCCAACCCTGAGAGCCAGGATCTTAAAATGACCACCTCATCAGGGCCGGCCTGCACCTGCCTGCTGCCTGCTTTTTTCCTTAAAGTGGTGGACACCGAAGATGTTCTGCCACCCACCTTCCCCCCTAAAATTGGTTCCTGGGGGGAGGTTTTTTCCTGCTGCTCGCGAAGCAGGCTCACTTGGAGCCTGCAACAGCCCTTAAGTGGCAAGCACCCTGCTGGTGCTTCATCACATGGGGTATACCAGGAGGGTATTCAGTAGAGGGGATAGGTCACCCTAGAGATATCTGGTTCAATGCTGTCCCTCAATAGCATCGACCTCTGCCACCGCTGGAGACAGAATACTGGGATAGATGGACCATTTGTATATCACTGACCCTGTATATCACTTCTTATGTACTAAAACATTTCCTCTCCTTAAGGCAAGAGTAAGTTTTTACTCTTGTGATGTATTTTTTCCATTTGTTGCAAAAATCTATCTCAAGCCTGATTATCTTAATAGGATCTGAAACCTGGAAACCTGGCAGTAAATGAAGACTGTGAACTGAAGGTAGGAAATATAAATTGACTGAATAATCTGATCTGTTGCAAGTAAACTGCATGAGGCAATGTGACTGAAACAATGGTAGTATCAAAGTGAATGATAAAACTCCCTTGACTTCATTGAGGTGGACATTTCAACCTTTTGAGAGACATGAGGCCTTGCTATGTAACTACAACAAAAAGTGGAAGCACAAATGTGGTACAGTATTCTTCCAAAACTGATATATCAAAAGAGATCATGGCATTGAATTATCCTGTATGTTTGACTTCAATCCCTATTGAAACAATGGAAGACCTCTTAAAGAAACAAAACCCTGAATGTTAGGGCCCATTCACCTCATCAGATGTACTTGCATAGCTCAGAGAGGTCACTGGTATGTGAAAACAGCTGATGGGTCAATTAATTTCCAAAGGAATTGTAAAACTAAGCATGACAAATGGCAATGTATCATATTAGCAATGGAGAATGACTATCAAATATTTTTTATCCAATAAAGGTAAAGAGAATGAGGAAATTCACCCACATTGCAAAGTTGGGAACTGTTGTCAATGAATTCACATAACTGTTAGATAAATGAAGATATTCACAGGTTAAATTATTCCCAGCATAACTGGAAGTGATTGCTGAGGTGGATGCTGCCTGATAGGGGGGGTGGTAAAGATGGGTATAAAAATTGCAGTTGACCCCTTTTGATGGGGTAGAGCTGGAACTGGTAACTTATACACTTGTTTGCTGAATGGATTGGTGTAAGTATATGTGCATACATATACGTTTTTATAAATCCGAATAGCCTTTGTATGTGCAGTGTGTGATAAATGCTTCGTTATTTTATCAGACAGTCATTCAGTGAAGAAACTGACTTTCGTAAAAATAAATAAATAAAGTCATGTCATCATTGTCCAGTGCTGTATACAGGCACTTTTCTTATGTCCAGCAGTACATGGCCAAGAATATCAGAATCCGGATCTAAATTTGTACATTTTTTGCTTCTTTGAAATTGGTTCTTTTCATAATATTGAATCTATTGAACTAATATAAACATTAAATGCATTTAGACAGTGGTATGTTTCCTAGAAGGAGGATAGTTATGGTTGGTTTTGCAGAATAACATCTAGCCTTTAATTGGATAGCTTCTGGTTTTTTATTTTATTGTTTGATCATAAGAAACAGGTGTTTAAAATCTTCTAGGAGCTTTATATATGGAAATAGTTACCAGCTGTTTCTTTTGCTATACTATTTCCAGGTACCCTTGCCCTGTGTCTTGCTGTCTTCAGCAGATACCACCTGAACTGTTTGTACAAGGAGGCGTTACCATCTGCAAGTTTCAGTCTAGATCATTAAACTGAAATACCGAATCTGACACATTTTGATTTTATTATTCTGTTTATCTGCCTGGGGAATCTTCCAGTCCATCAACCTGTTAGTATAATATTTATAGTTAGAAATAATTATCTAAAATAAACCTGTCACAGCAATATGCATTTAATTGCTGTGGCGAGTTCGTTATGAAAAAGCAAATAAAGTTTTGTTCAATAAAGCAACATACACATAAGCGTGCCATGACAAATTTTAGAAATTTAGGGTCTATTGCTGATGCAAGATCATGGTAGAGGTGATATCTTGGCATTGATGTAAGTATATGTGCATACATATACATTTTTATAAATCCAAAGATTAAAGTTGGCAATATTGCAAAAGTTAAGTTTTAATGCACAGTTTTAAGAGTGTCCATTTTGCATGTAAACATTATCAGAGAGATTCCACCTCCACAGAGCCTCAAGTGACTAGAGTAAGGTCCTAAAACCATAACCTGCACATGTAGGTTAAAAAACTGACAGTTTCTTCCACCTTTCTTTGGCACTAATCATTTTGTAGGGCTTGCAAGGGTACACTGCTCATTGACTTAGGACTAATAAGCTTGACTGTATTTATCAGCACAACTTTGTCTTCTTTTTCCATAGCTAATGGGTTTACAGTTTGGCTGCCAACTTAATAGTGTGTCTTATCCATCTTTAAATCTCCACCTAAATGCTTATTGTAAATTTCTACAGCATATGCTTGGTCATGCATTTTCAAATATTCATAAGACTATTTTATTAGCAACCTGTTTCCTAAGGTTAACTAAATGCAGACTTGCAAGGTGGTCTATTTATAAGCTTACTTTGAAGTTACAAAGTTCTCTTGCTTTTGTTGTTGAAATGGTAATCCATTTCAACAACAAAAGCAAGTGAACTTTGTAATTTAAAGGGTTTCCTTTGTAAATTAAAGGGTTCCCCGCCCCCCCCAGCCCCAAGTAGAACCTCATGTGATTAAAGGGATTTTGCTAAAATTTGGCCCAAAATTTGTTTCTGGCAAGGCAAATCCCAGACTAAAAGTGGAAAATCAAGAGCGTATTAGAATGATGGCTTTGTATGAATATCATTATGCAACTTCAGCTATGGTGATTTCAAACAGTATAGTTATGATTCTTGAGAATAAATTAGTATTTAGTCCTAACAAATAAACCTAGTCCTAAAATTTCTGAAAAACACGCAAAAATTCTCAGTAATTTTCTTTACACCTTTATAAAAAAAAGAATGGAATTGTACTGCAACTGTGTCTAAACCTGAATGATGTTGCAAATCTTAAATGTAGTAAATTATTACTTATTACTGAATAAAGCGGTAGAAGCACTCTATCATCAGTGGTACAAAGTTGGCCATCACACCGCAAGAAAAAAAACCAGAAGTATTGCTTTTCATTTATTTTGAAATATTAACAAGACATGGGAGATTACTCTGTATTTGTTTGAAAGCTACGTTTTAAAATGCATCTTCCTATCCCATAAAAGAATATTTTTATTCCATTTGTGCTTAGTTCTTCTGTGTTCAGAGTTTCAGTGATAACATTCCTCTGAGCAGGGTAGAAATTATATTCCATTTCTGTTTTAAATGCAGTTGCCTCATTAGCTGACATAAACTGTGGAAATTTGTTTAAATGAGGCAGTAATGTTAAGGCCATATTTACACTTTACAGTCTGATTCCATGAATAGCAATATAATGTAATATTCCTGTTTTATTACTGTCAGGGGAATGAAACTTTTTTTTTAATGGCAAAGTACTTTTAGATGGTTGACTGTTAAAAACAGCGTGTGTTAAAAATCCAGTGTCCTTGCGCATTTTTCTCTCTCTATTTCCAGCATAAATCTCTGTCCCTGGGGTATATATAAAACCTGGTGAACATGGGAATTAGTATTTATTTGAGTAAATCTACATACTTTAGCATCTATGGGAGATCATATATTGTTTTTCTTTATTTTTGTCCTAGCCATAAGCCATTCTTTCAGTTTCTCTCAACTAATCAGTGAATGGTTATGAAATTTATGGCTCTTCCTCCTTATATTTCTAGTTAGTATTTTCTCACTGCTGTGAAACTGCTTACTGGCCAGCTTGTTACTACTGCAGCATTGTGTAGCAGGAAGCATGATGTGATGCTACTGCGCAGTCACCATCATCTAAAAGCCATTCAGCAATGCTACTGCGCAGTAACTCCAGTAATTTAGTACTTGTTTATACAGTAATTGTTTAAACAAATACTAAATGACTGCACAGTAACAACTGCACAGTCAGCATCTCAGGTAGACGTGGCCACTGACTTATTTTAAGAACTGATCTTTAATCTTAACCACCTTCACCTTTAGAAGGTTCCTGCTTCTAGGCTCCTGTATTGGACCATTTCGTACAAGTTGACACAGATTTTCATGTTCCCCTGCT